TCGAATTGAATGAGAAGGTGGATAAGGTAACTGGAAAATTACAATTAAGAAATCATATAGAACCACAGAAGTTACTTCAAAAAAGAAAAAAAGAAAGATATAAGAGAAACATGAATTGATGATGATTATTCGAATTGAATAGAAGAAAATTGATCAATAAAAAAGTCTCAAATTCAAATTTTAAACTCGAAATACTCGACACAATGTAGAAAATATGTTAAATGAACATAGAGAACATAACCAATTCATAATTAAATGCAACCCACTCACGTCATATTATTGACAATGAACGTTTTTCTCCAAAATATTTTTGAACAACTGACAAATACAAGAATGTTTTTAGTTACGAACAATTATTGATTTATACATCGGAATCATTGTTCACTGAATATCGAGAATTTTAACTGTTTAATGAATAGAATTTCAAATCATTTCTGACATTTGCCTAATCACTGTAGAATTTCAGAAGCTGCGAATTCGTCAAAATATGCAGAACAGAAGTTTTTGAAAGAACTTGACGGGAAAAGATTTTTTTTCTATGCCATGTATGATCATATACTAGTCAATACAAGATAATCTTATTTGAAACGATTTTATTGCTCGATAACTTATTCAATGCTATGATGGAAATGATTAAGCGATGTTAATTTTCAAAAATCATCAACTTCGATTCAGGTTAAACTTTTGTATTCGATGATTTCCATGATCACTTACATAAATATTACCTTCTCGATCAAATATCAAACCAGTGGGATAATAGAGTTGATTCGATTGACTTCCTTTACCATTTTCACCAACGATAACACTTCTCTGCGTGCTTTCTTGAGACCAACGCATTATTCGATGATTTGAACAGTCAGCCACATAGACAGTACCTGATTGATCCACAACAATTCCACAAGAATTTGATAATTGTGTAAGACTATTTCGTTTATCTTGATCTCCTGTCACAACAACGCCTTTTTTCGCACCTTTCATCCATTTCATCACTCGATGATTGCTAGAATCAGATACATAAACTGAATGATCTCGATCGACGAATACGTATGTCGGATCATATAATTGATCAAGACGATTTCCTTGTCCATTTCCACCTGCAACCAATGTTCCTTGACTTTCTTCCATTCGATATCGTCTAACTTCTTGTTTGTTGAAATCAACAATAGAGAAAAATCCATAATTACGCATTGTCAAACCCCAGCATCCAACATTTGAGATAATCGTTTCTCCATTTTTACCATTATGACGAGGCCATCGAACTACACTTTTATTGTCATAATCAGAAATGATAAAGCTATCTCTTTCTATATCAATAATCACATCGGTCTGGTAACTCAATTGATCAGAACGATTTCCATGTTTATTTCCATCAGCTACAACTCGGTCAGCCGTCGCACCACATGTTCATTCCGCAAGACGATAATTCGGGCTGTCAGCAATATAGATAGTTTGATCATCATCAACATACAAACCCCATGCATTGCTGAGTTGGTGCAGTCCACTACCTCGTTCATTCCTTCCAGCCACAGTAATACCATTCTGGATCCATTTAGTATTTGTACTAAGATTTGGGCTGCGTAGTGGTGGTACTGCAAACAAAAGACAATTTCGTTCATTCACATTGGATCGATGTAAATGGATGAAAATCAATATTCGTAGTTGTTAATATCACCGTTTTAATATTTCGAATGTAGAAAAGTCTGAGTGCTTCTATTGGATGATAATTAACATTAGAATTTTCGAATAAAAGATCTAATGTTCTTTTTATCTAATCATCGTCAAAAGAATTTTCATCTTTTAAAGAAAATTTAATAGCAAATTGATATGATTGATCACCAGTATTACTGAAGAAAACCTGCTAGTACCTATTTTTTTCGAATAGGGAATTGTTGAAAAAAGTTCTAGGCCATGGAAATAGGTCTGTTACTCTAAATACTTTCTAGACGACGTGTGATTATCATATAGATTCGATTAAACATCGTCAGCACTTCCGTGGAAAATGAAATTCAACTTGGAAACTATGATGTAGTTCGATCTGCATAAAATCAATCAAATCAACATTTGAAATGTGAAAAAACCAGTTGCGAAAAATGTTGTCATTTCTCTCTGGTCATTTAGAGTTTGGAAGATGAGACAAAAATGTTGAAATACTTAATACAATTATTTATTTTTTAAAAAGTGAACATCAATGATTCATTCGAACAGGAAAAGTTCATGACAGTCGTAACATAATTTATTTCTTCATTTTTTACGTAATGTCTGTCGAAAGAAAAAAAAATTCTGGATTTTTTTCTATTCATCTATCGAAAATCTTGACTCAACAAATATTCATGAAGTATCGATCAATTCGTCATTCAATATCAAAGAATCTTTTTATTTCGATGATAGTCAACTTTCCTACTATGACATTGTTGAGATTAGCTTAAGAGAAATTCAAAAGAGTTCTACAAATATTCGACCAGTAGAAAAGACTTCTGAAATACAACTCTATGTAATTTGTACTTTATTCGAAAGTTAACACATTGTATCCATCTTCATTCTCAAAATCAAGTGTGTTTGCAATTCTTCGTCGAAGAAACAATCTTCCTGTACCTTAGGCCAGATAATTTTCGATCAATGAACAGAATTTGTCTTCAACTTTGAAAATATTCATTGACTAGAGAAGAACTCATCAAATGTTTAATCAAATGGATATATTTCACGGTAAAAACCAAAGAAGAACTTTTTAATGATTGAGTGACTCAGCAATGTGTGATGTGCAATGAAGTAGACTAAGTCGGGCGGAAGAAGAATCTCTTTTCAACAGAGATAGTAGAACTTATATCTCACCCGAAAACAATACCAGGTGCTCCACTGATGCCAAACTGTAACTCAAATTTCAACGATGCTACTTTTGTTTCTACTTTTTTAAATGATACGGTAGTGTTTGAAATATTTATTCTCGTCGCTATTCATAATAAATAAGTTTAGTCGTCTTACGTTCAAGAAACCTTCTGCTCAACTTTGGCCAAGCATGGTCTATTTAGCTGAACAAGCTGATTTCTGATATCATCTCGCAATGGTCATCATGTGAATATACTAAACGAAGAAAATCTCGTTATATTTAAATCTAATTAAAGTAGATAGACGAATGATGTCAAAGAATCGTTTTAGAACTATTCATGATTTTTCCAGTTGTTCCAAGGAATTTTATCTCGAAGTTGAACCAATTTTTGAAGATATTTTATTTATCAGGTCAGACTTCTTGAAAGTAGAATCTCACACGAATCTTGCTTTTTTTATATGTTTCAAAGAGGAAGTCGAATATCAATGAAGTCGACTTGTTCTTCTATACAGATAAACAACTGGAAGCCCTGTTAAAAAAAATTGTTTTTATTCGTAAGAAAAATTTTGTAAGATCTACCAAAAACCACCAGAATATTAGTTTAAGAAAAGGAAAAATATATGCATTCCATTGGATCCTAGTTGTTACAGAAAAAATTTCAGCTCTATCAGTCAAAGTGTTTGGAAGAAAAAAAGGGAAAACTTTAATTTTTCTTTTGAAAAATTAATTTTGAAAAAACTGGGAAACACCGTTAAATGCCTTATTTTCATGCATAGCTATCAAGGGAATGTGCATTTATAAAGCAACTAGAAGGATGTATCGCTGGCCTATATATCACATTTTGATGATGAAATAACTATATTAGTATATAGATTATTTACAACATGAAAAAACTGTAAAACGTGATGCGTTGTATAGAAGATCTTTTGGGGCCGAGAAAAGGCAGAGGATGCACTTAAATATTCTTGAGTGTTCAATGTAAACCATTTCATTTGTTTCTGTATTTTCATTTTCGATGAAATTCGAATTGTTTGTAAACATTTGAAATAGAAACAATCATCTAGATTCTTTTATATCTGAAATGACTTTATTTTCTTTGTCGATTCTAAATTGAAATTCAATTTTATTCGATCTTTCATTGACATGTTACAGAAAAGACTTGTCAGTAGAATATTATCTTTTCTTTTCAATTTAAATCGACTTAAGATTAACAAAATATAAGACTATTTTTGAATTGTTAAATGATTCGATTTTCTGAAGTGTCGAAAATCTCAAAATAAATGAAAAACTTTTCTGGTCTATACGATACGAAAATCAATTTTAGATAATTTTTTGAGTTGAATCTTTAATTAAGAATAAATATGAACTTGTAAGAGTCTTGCAATCTCAAATGTTCAATAGTGAAACTTTTTCTTATAATGTAATTCGAATGATGGTTTCATGCCATTCCGATTGAAATACGAAATGAAATTTCAGAAAGTTAAATGTTTTATTTTTGATGAAAATCTTCTGCGTTGTGTTAAACCGATAAGTTTCGAATAATATTTTAATCAATTTTCTTGAAGATTGTATATGTCTCTTTCGAAGTAATTTAGATTAATCAATGAGAAGAAAATAGGTCGATTGAATAGAAAAAAGTATTTGATAGATTTGTTGAAGAATTTCTTTTCTTCTATATATTTAGTTTAATGTACTCACAGTTTAGTTGTTGTTCTTCTCGAATGTGAATGATTTGATTCCAATCAATTTGATCATTATCAATAACAATGATTTTCGTTATATCTTTTTAAGTAAATTCTTCAAGTTTTTGTTTAAATTCATTAATTTGTTGTATAAGTCGAACAATATAATTTTCCACAAAATTTTCTTCTTCTTGACGAAAACGAATTTCTTTTGTGATTGATTCAATTTGTTTTGCTAATGTTATTCGTTGTTTATCGATTAGTTGGGTGAGTTGATGATGAGCTCTTTTTGCTGTTTTTTTTTACTTTTTTGATTGTTATTTTCTTCCATTGTTCAATTTGATCAAAAAGCTCCGATGAAAAATAATTTGATTTTTCTTAATTTTGAATTTGATTAAGAAGTTCTTCGAGAGAGCTCACTATTTCATGGTCAAATTTTTATCGATAGTTGTTATTCATGTTCTTTGAAATCTTTTGAACAAAAGTTTTGCTTACATCCAATGCAAACACATATTGCTGAAGGTCTATTGCAGATTAAACATAAATTTGATTCATTTGCTATTGCCATTTATTTTAGAATGAAAGTCACTCGACTTATGTAATTTATTATAAGAATATCTCAAATAATCTTGATCTAAAATGAATTTATTTGAACCTTTATTTTTAAAAAAATTATCGAAAATCTGTGATGAGTTTCCAAATAACGTTTATGTTTTATTCATTTTTATACAGAAACACTTTTGTAAATTTTCTCGTATATTTTTATTGGAAATTCCTAAATACGACGATGAGTTGTATGGCAGTATTCAGAAAGATGTGAATAAATGAATGAAGAGTTAACATAAAGTCCTCCAACATTGTTTTCTTTGAAACAGTTTCGTTCTTAGTCAACAAGAAAAAATACGAAAATTTTCAGGAGGTCTTTACTATAAAATGTGAATATGAGCAGATTAAGGTTTTGTTTTGCTTAAAAAGAGCGAGAAATTCTGAGAATATTCTTATTTCCACTAGTGCGTTCCAGCGAGTATATACACGCAACAAAAAAATTGTAACTTTTTTAAACGTATTACCACCATAAAAGCAATATTAGAAATATAATTATGTATTCAACAAGCATTTGGAATTTTCAATCATCGTGTCATCTTAATGTTGCTGCTTTGCATTGATTCAGTACAACAAGGAAATACAAGACTAGACAAATAAAAATATATAGACGATATAATTTTTTGATCTATTGTAAGAGAGGTTCAAATAATTCATTAAAAATAATGCCGAATAAATGAAAACTTTAATAATTTCTACAGTTGATAAGAACACTTGGGTACGAGTGTGGCTGGCGAAAAAGACAAGAGCCGTACCAACAACCCTATACACCCATCCAGTCACATTCTCTTTTATATCCTCATGGCTCAATTACCAATTGTGAGAAACGAACGCTCTAAACGTATTCCTACTGCAAAACTCACTTTTGATATTGTCATTTGACTGAAGTTCTTCATTTTCATAAGTAGTAAATCCTATCGATTTCGATTAAAAAATGGTCCACTTTTTCTTCAGTTTTACACCAGTAAATTTTCAGAAGAAACTGATCCACTATAATCATATTGTGATCAATAAATTTCAAGGAGACTTTAAAAGTTGACTTCCTTAAAAAGCCGATGATTATGTAAAAAAATTGGATG